ACAGATTTAGGATTATGTGGACCAGTTGATGAAAAGTCATCAAATAAAGTCTATGGAATTGTATCATATGTTGCACCTGAGCTACTTGGAGGCAAAAAGAACACAAAAGAATCTGATATTTATAGTGTTGGGATGTTAATGTGGGAAATATTTGCAGGTCATCCACCATTTGACAATAGAGCTCATAATCATCGTTTAATTTTTGATATATGTGAAGAAGGTTTACGACCACCAATATTACCTGAAATTCCTGATGATTATGCACAAATCATGCAGAGGTGTTGGGATGTGGATTCATCAAAAAGACCAACTAGTAGAGAGCTTTATGACTTTGCTAAAAATAAACGTGACGAAGTTTTTGATAATAATACTACTAGTAATAGTAGTAGTGATAATAGTAATAATACTAGTGGTGGTAGTAGTGTTTCGCAACAAGTACACAAACCACATCCAGATGCGTGTCATAAAAGTAGAATATTAGATGAAGAGATTGCTAAATCTAAAAGCTTAAAAAGTTATACAAGTAATGATAGTTCGTTAAATAGTCTTGATTTTAACTCTTTTCTTTTAAATGATGATTTTAACAAAGGTGAATAAAAACTTCATTATTAATTAATTGGAAATTATTATCCATTAATTATTACTAACGATACTTATTTGATTGATTAATAAACACTAGATTCTAGTAATTAAGAGAAAGAATCAATGAGTGACTAATTTAATCTCCACTATAAATTTATTATTTAGTTTTTATTTTTTTATTTTAAAGCTAAATCATAATAATATTTTGAAATAATAAACTTTTTACAGTTTCTGATCCTTGTTTATTTATTTCCTTTTTTTTATTAATATTAATAAATAAAAGTCGTTTACAACAAAAAAGTTTAACGAAAATATTACATTAAAAGAAAATCATTACCAATTTGGTCGTGAGATTCAAAATATTGTATTTCTGAGCATAACTTTCAAATTTAAAAATCTATGGAAAGAAAAATTAAGACAAATTTTTTTTTTTAGATTAATAGACTCCCTTTTTTAAAGCTGAATTGAATGGTGGCGGTTTTTTTAAAATCCCAATGTGTGGATCACATAATATTTTTTTAGTATTGGGTTAGTGAGAAAAAATTTTGCTACACAACATTTATGGTTCACTAATATAGCAAAAATTTATGAATTTATCGATTATCGATCGAGAGTCGCTCATTAAATTCATAATATAATGAGAGTAGGGAATGTATATTATGCCTCTGATCTAAAAACTTAGTACAGTCTTTGTTATTTCAAGTTATATACAAAAAAAGAAAAAATCAGAGTTTATTTTCACCAATGTATTATTTTATTGCTTCAAGGAAAATTTATCAAGGAAAAAATTGGTTACTTTATTATTATTATTACTATTACGTGATTGTTGCAGAATAAAAAACGTACGATTTTTTTTGGCTGATATATTTAAATTAGGACGAATTAGGATGTGTTCACATGGTAATGAACGTCGAAAGATTATGTTAATATATATATTGGTATAAACCATCGATTACACTGCATTCTGACATACAAGATAGTAAATATCAACATTAAATTCGTGGGATTATTCGTGACAAGTGAATAAATATCTTTGACGACGACAAACTACAATATAATATGATGATGATTCATCAAGTCGACAGCTAATATGAAATACTTGATGCTGAATTGTATTGCTCTATATAGTATCGATCATCATGGAACAAAAGAATTATTAATAAATAATTGATTTTTTTGGAAAAATCTTTACTTAATCAGGAAATTTTGTTTATAAAGATTTTACAAGATAAAAAAGATAAATAAAACTAATAATGGCAAAATGATGTAATAATGACAACTCACTTTATAATGTGATAATTTAATTGGATGGATAATAAATTTTCTAAATATATAAATAATCTCTAATGATTTATTACCAAAATATCGATAGTAATTTGCTTTACCATTTTTTTTAAAAAAACAATAATTATATATCCAAAATGGTAATAGATTCAACAAAAGCAACACCAGCAAAAAATCATGTACGTTCTCACACTGGAGTCCCAACAAAAGAGCTTTTAACAGCAAAAAAAAATTATCCGACTACTTGTCTTAGTTTATGGGAAAAATATTCTGTTCAAGAATCAAATGGTATTAAAACTAAAATAATTATTACAAAATAATTTTCATAAATGATATCATGTGTGTGTAAAAAAAATGAATTTAAAATTGATTATCATTTGAAATCAGATAAAGAAAGCTTCCAAAAAGCATTTGTCAATCATGTAGCAACTACACTTGCTAGATCCATTTACAATGTTGATAATTTTAGTGCTTATCAAGCAACTGCCCACACGTAGGTTTAGATTTTAAATTTTTAAAAATGGTTGTAATTCATTTATTATTATATATTATACATTATTACATATATGAATATATTTATATAGTGTTAGAGATACATTGATTAAGCGTTGGAATTATACCCAACAGGTTTGTTTTGTAAATTAAAATCCTGCAAATAAAATAATCAAAGAATAAAAATTTCATTCGTGCCTCTGATTGTTTAGAGACATACTGAGGTTGATCCTAAGCGTGTTTATTATTTATCATTGGAATTCTTGTTGGGTCGATCATTGGACAATGCTCTTCTTAATTTAAGAGTAAAAGATGTTTGTGGAGGTAATTAGCATAAAAATAATCTAATAATCTAATAATCAATCAATCAAATTTTTTCTCTATTAATTATTTACATATTTTGTATATGTTATAGAGGGAATAAAAGAATTAGGTTTTAGTATGGAGGATGTTCTTGATCAAGAAGTTGATGCTGCACTTGGTAATGGAGGTCTAGGCCGTCTGGCTGCTTGTTATATGGATTCTTTAGCCACTTTAAATATTCCAGCCTGGGGGTATGGTCTTCGTTACACTTATGGTATTTTTCAACAAAGGTAAATAATAAATAAATATTAGATTATATAATCTAAGGAAATAATATTAAATGCTATAGAAAAAGATTTCTTACTACTATGAAAATATAACATGTTAAAATGCTTAACTTTTTTGTAAACATTTACTTTAGATTAAAGGATGGACATCAAGTAGAATTCCCTGATTATTGGTTAAATTTTGATAACCCTTGGGAATTGCCACGTCTTGATGTTGTAGTTGATGTTAAATTTGGTGGATCTGTTAATAAATATACTGATAAAAATGGCTGTGAAAGATATTCCTGGGAGGGTTCTGACACTGTAGAAGCTGTTGCCTACGATGTTCCCATTCCAGGTAATAGAGAACTTAAAGAAATAATTTTAAAATGTTCACGCCACACGCATTGATCCTTTCATTAATTTGTTTATTTATTCACTTCATATATAGGTTATGATACCAACAATTGTAATAATATTCGATTATGGAGTAGTAAACCTAAACGTCAATTTGATCTTAAATATTTCAATGAGGGAGAATATGAGAAAGCTGTGCAAGAACAAAAACAAGCCGAAAATATAACTGCAGTGTTATATCCTAATGATAATCACATGGTTGGAAAAGAATTACGTCTTAAACAACAATATTTCTGGGTTGCTGCAAGTCTTCATGACATGTAAATTAAATTGAATCTGAAGGTTTTGTTTTTTTTTGGTAGAAATGAAAAAATATTCAAGTAATATTTTATTTGTATGTAGTGTTCGCCGGTTTAAAAAATCAGAGAGACCATGGAGTGATTTTCCTACACAAGTAAAATTTATTTCTTAATAATAATAATTTTGTTATTAACGTAATTTTTAATTAATTTTTATTTAATTAATTAGGTCGCAATTCAATTGAATGGTATATAATCATCAAACATTTGGTCATGTATTATTTCTAGAGAAAAGATTTTTTTTTTAATACATGTGTATCTTTTATATATTAGACACTCATCCAACTCTAGCAATTGTTGAACTTCAAAGAATTTTAGTTGATATTGAAGTAAATCATATATAATAATTATTATATTATTTTCATTTTAAAAAAATTTTTTTTTAAATTTATTTATTTATTTAGAAACTTGATTGGGATGAAGCATGGGAAATTGTTACCAAAACATTTGCTTTTACAAATCACACTATACTTCCTGAAGCTATGGAGAAATGGCCAGTTCCTATGGTTTCATATATTTTACCAAGACATATGCAAATAATATTTGATTTAAATCTTGTAAGAAAAAGATAATGATTTATGAATTATTATTAATTTGATTTATTTGATTTATTGATCTCCATTATTTAATTTACTTGACAGTTCTTTTTACAAAAAGTTGAAAAAAAATATCCAAAAGAACGAGATCTTTTAGCCAAATTATCGATTATTGAAGAAGCATCTCCACAATTTGTCAGGTTAGCTAATTATTACAATCTTTAATATTAATGATAGTTTCATATATATTAAAATTAATTAAAAAATTTTTTTTGGTTGAATATTTTGATTTAATAGAATGGCACATCTTGCTATTGTTGGTATGTTAATTGTTATTTAAATTATTTTTTACTAATGTTATCATATTATCATGTTAATTAGTCAATTAATTGACATGGAAATTGTAGGTTCACATCGTGTTAATGGAGTTGCTGAACTTCATTCAAGATTAATTAAGGAAACGGTAAATTATTTATTATGATAATTGTTTTAATAAAAATGATTTATTCTTTATTCTTTTGATTTTTTCATATTTTATTATTATTATAATTATTAACATTATTAGATATTTAAAGATTTTGTAAAATTTTATGGTCCAGACAAATTTGAAAACAAGACCAATGGTATTACTCCTCGCAGGTATTCATTTGTTAATTCATGAGTGGATATTATGGTTTGTTTATATATGAAGAAAAATGCAAATCAATTTTCTTTACTTTTTGATTTTGCTTTCCTTTGGTTTTTAGATGGTTACATCAAGCAAATCCTAAATTAAGTGATTTGATAACAGAAACATTGCAAACTAAAGAATGGTTAAAAGATTTGTTCATATTAAAAAATTTAACAAAATATGCTGATAATCCAGATTTCAAGAAAAAATGGAAAGCTATCAAACATTCAAATAAGGTACAAGCATAATATTTTAGTATAATATATATTTTATAAATTATATTTACATGTGTGCTAGTAATTCTTATATTTTATTTATAACTATATTATAAAAGGTGCGTTTGGCTGACTATATTAAAACACATACTAATATAATAGTAAACCCAAATGCCTTATTTGATGTTCAAGTAAAAAGAATTCATGAATATAAAAGACAATTTATGAATATTTTGGGGTAATTATAATAATTATTTGACATAAAGAAATGTTATATTTTTATTTCAAACCAATAATTTAAAAATGTTTTTTGAAAAATATGTTGTTATAGTGTTATTCATCGTTATAATGCTTTGAAAAAATTGAGTGCTGATGAAATTTCAAATATTGTCCACCGTGTTGTTATATTTGGTGGTAAAGCTGCTCCTGGTAAATTAATTAAAAACAATAATGTTATTCATCATTGTTATTATTAGGTTTTTTTTTGCTGTTACTGATAATAATTATTATTGTTGTTATTTGTAATTAAAAGGTTATTATATTGCTAAATTAGTAATAAAATTGATAAACAGTGTTGCAGAAGTTGTTAATAATGATGAAAGTATTTATGATTCTTTGAAAGTAAGTAGAATATAATTATTATAATAATTATTATTATTCAAAATTAAAATTAACACTAATATTATTAATTAATATTTCTTCGTTCATCCATCCATCCATCATTACCATTAATATTTCTAATTACTTGTCATCATTCATTTAACATCCTTAACTTTAGGTTGTTTTTATACCAGATTACAATGTATCAGTTGCAGAAATTATTATTCCAGCTTCAGACATTTCACAACATATTTCAACAGCTGGTACAGAAGCTTCTGGTACAAGTAATATGAAATTTGTGTTGAATGGTGGTTTGATCCTTGGAACAGTTGATGGTGCTAATATTGAAATTCACCAAGAAATTGGCGATGAAAATATTTTCATGTTTGGAAATTTGGCTGATGCTGTTGATGATTTAAGACATGCTCATAGGTGTGTATCTATATTTAAAGGAAGAGAGTGTGTGTGTATAAATAAATATTAATGTTATTTATTTGTGATTTCCTCCTGCCCCAACATCTTTCTTATTTTCTCTGAAGATATCGAAATGTCGAGATGGATCCAAAACTAAAAGAAGTTTTAACAAGTATCGAATCTGGACAATTTGGTGATCCAAGAATATTTTCTCCGTTAATCAATACATTAACAATAGGCAAAGATTATTATTTAATTTCCGATGATTTTGGATCATATCTTCGATCACAACAAATGATTGATGAAGCTTATAAAGATCAAGATGAATGGATAAAGAAAAGTATTTTTTGTACTGCTCTTATGGGCAAATTTTCTTCGTAAGTATTAATTATCATTTATTTTATTTTGCATAAGAATAAAGTGACTTGGAATTTATTACATCACTGTCTTACGATTCTGGTAAATAATAATGATCAATTAAAAATTTTCTTGTTTTGCTTTTTAGTGATCGTGCTATTCAAGAATATGCAGATAGTATTTGGAATGTTGAACCAGTTAAAGTCGTTTAAAAAAAAAATTTAATTGCTTTGCCATGTCAAAGAAATAATATGTAAAAAATAATTTCTACAAAATGTAAAAATAAAGAAATAAATTATTTAATTCTTTCACTGTCAATTAATCTCTTGATTCTGTTTGCGGATTTTTGTTTCTTCTCAAAGGATTATTGTTCCGATGAATGATGTCATCATCATAACAAATACCTTCTGGATGTCAGTCAACGTGGGAACACACTACTGCCATTTCTATCTATTTTTCAAATACTACTTTGCGTTATTGATTAATTTCTTGGTTGGTCATAATGTTAATTTTATGCGCTTAGTTAATAAATAAATCCTACACGGTTATCATCAAGTCTTTTTTAACGAATACTACCAACATTGATCTTTCTCAAAAAAAAAAAACCAAAAAAATTAACTACTTTCTTGCACAACTACATAACCTTAAGGACTTCTTTATCATGTCGATTCATATCAATTTATCTGAAAAATTACGATTTTTATGGAAAAATATTCGTATCAATAATAAATGATAGTAAAGGGAAAGATAATGTTTTTTTTTAAGTAGAAATTTTCGACATAGATGAACTAGCACAGGTCATCCGGTCCATACAAAACACGAGGCCTCAGAGCCTCTTGAGGCCAGTTCAAGTATACCTGATCCTATCGATATTATATGATGTTGAAGTGAGTTAGAAATTCATATGAGCTGACTTTTAATGATGGGTGTAAAATCGATCCATATTAATTTGATCACTTTATGTTATCAACTTGCAGGTTTTTTATTTTTCTATAATATATTTATAGGGTGAGTCAGAGGTTGGGGAAAGCAGTAGGGGTCTTGGAAGAGGTGGTGATATTGGAGGTGCCAGTAATGTTGGGGGAGGCGGTGCTGGTGACGTTGGGAGAGGCAGTGCCAGTGACATTGAGGGAGGTGGTGACGTTGGGTCCTTTCGTGTTGCTATATCTCGAAAGCTTTATGTTCTAAAAGAGAAATAAAATAAAACTAACAATAATCATCAAAAAATTAAGTCATGATTCAACTTCAAAATTGAATGAAAAAGGATTTGCACAAAGAAATATATGTATTTTTTTTATTTTCTTAAAAAATTTCTGTTAATATATAATCAAGATGTCAGCCTGTAATAATGAAAGTATTTCGTATCAAAATATATTCAATAAAGTTCTGCCCTTAACCTATCGAATGGAAATGTTTTCTATATGAATGAATGCAGTGGTTGTCCCATGCACTGTTCGAAATTCAATCGGCGGAATCGGTGCGCACTAACCAAATATGAAAATTAACCGCAGATAATTTCTAAATTAGATTAGTTTATGTAAAGGCGCAGTCGAATTTCGAACACTGGTCCCATGATGATTAATTTGATTTTTCTTCTTTCGTTTTTCTCTTTTTTTAAAAAAATCGCATCCAGGATTAATGTGGCAAATGCATTCTAAAATACTATTAAACGTCCATATAGAGCATACACTGTATGTATGTGGTGAAGAAATAAATTGCGATTTTTTCAGATGCCGTGTGCGTAACAAGTACGAAAAGACTGAGGTCTCGATATAAGATTCCTGATTGGCTAATTTAATTTCACATGTGGAATTTAAAATACACGCAGATCTCAAACTCACATACAGCAAAATGATGCAAATAATGTTATGATGTTTGGAAATCTGTACTCGAAAAGCTTATACAATGAAAAATTTCTGATGATATTTGTTTATTCATTTATTATTTATTTATAAAAACGGAAAAAGGATTATGTTATTTGGTTATTATTATTATTATTATTAGGTATGCACCAATGAAAATAAAGATTTGAATACAGCCTGGAGTCAATTAAATATTTTTGTAACCATCTTAAATTATATGATTAATTTTAAGAATAGTGAGATTCATCATCTTTTAAAGGATCAAATAGATAATAGTGATTATAATGGCGATTTCGGTGTTATCAATGCTGAAGATAATATTGATAGTAGTGATGATGGCTATGATTCTGACAAAGAAAACAAATTTTTTCTGATGGAACTGATGAAGGATTTTATTTTGATCCTACACAGATCAAAAAGGATTTTTAAAAAGCAAGTTAATTACTTTAATACAAAATTAATTATATCATCTGTGAATACAAATTGATTGGCTATCGGTTTTTATAATAGGTTCTATCAAGAAACTACGTTTTGAATAGATCGGTTATTACTATTTCTAGCAATTATATGAAAATCATTTTTAAAGAAAATGAATTCTTTTCGTAGGAATAATTAATAAACACAACATAAGGGCAGAACAGAAAGAGCTTTATAAAGCTTTTTTTTTAAAAAACAAGTCATTGAATGAATTATCTCTAAATATATCCGATCGATCGATGCACAATTAAATAAGGTCCAAGGAGAATTGATACGAGCAATTATCACACATGGAAATGGTTCCTTTATCGAAGTCTATTCACCAACCGCCATACCTTGTTCGATGTTCGAATGGGATATTCATTATGGAATTATCAACTTCGTCAATTCGTTGTAAGTAATTATTAATAATTAATTGTTAAGATATTATACTTTGAATACCTTGATTTAAATTTTAAATTGATTAAATTTAGAAAATATGTGTGGAAGTCATCTTCATGCCAACGTCAAAGTCCGTCGATAAATGAACGAAGCTTTTCACACGATTTTGCAAAGCCTATGGTTGATTTTTTTTGTTGGGTGCTACCGAATTAGAGAGAATATGGGGATGGATGTGTCCCACAATCTACAATAAAGTTTCTGGCCGAAACTTTATTTATTAGTAGCCGAAATTGCCGAAACACTTTGGGCAAAAATTACTTTTTATACAGTCAAACCTCGTTATAACAGACCTCGTTATAACGAATTTTTGTTATACCAAACAGAATCTTATCCCTATTTTTTTTTATTAAATAAAAAATTTCGTTATAATATTAACATTATTAAATTCCTACCAAAAAATCTGTTGTCCGTTGAAACGCGATTTAAATTAATATTCGAGAGTGCTACGGATATTCGAATATATAAAATTATTTGACACCAATTTCGAATATGCTAATTAATGTGAATATTCGAATATCATTTCGATTTTTGATATTTGAATAGGAACACTAATGAAAACTACATCTTTAAACTCTGGTATATATTGTTAAAAAATAGGAGCTAATCAAAAGACAGTATACCGAAAGACAGTATATAATAACATTTGACTTATGAACAAACAACATATGGATCTTTGAGTAATAAATTAGAAATGTTGGTTTATTTTATTTCGTTCGCTCATTCATCTATTCATTAAAAGAAATATAAATTCAAAAAACAGATAACGGGGAAACATAACAGTAGCAGATAATGAATAATATTACTACTAATAACTTATTGTATATAACATTTGTTTTTTTTTCAAAAAAAAAAAAAACAGATCTACCAATTAAACAATGGGATTGGATTATTGTTCAAAGTATAATATAAATAATAATTCTTATTATTATTGTATATAACTGTATGGAACGAAAGTATAATTAATTTATTATTATGGCTTATTATTACGTGGTAAGTAATAATATATTAATATATTATTAATAATAGTTTATTGTATACACATTGTATTAACAGGTTTATTATTATTATTATGCACGCGACCATCAAGGTAAGTAATAATATATTACTACTAATAATAATATTATTAATT